TTAATTATTTTTTTATGGCCAAATTTTAAAAATGTTTTAAATTAAATTTTTTTATTTATTTACACAAATTGTTATAATTTTGATAGCTAATCAAATTGTTTATTAGCCCAGACCACATGCCTACAATTTAGTTATTTATATTTTCCAAAAACTTGTTTGCATTTTTTAGTTGTTAAATATTTTTCGTACATATTTACAGCACACAATATTTTCTGTAGCATTTTTATAAATTTTCTAAATTTATTTTTAAAGTAAATGAAATTTTTCACAAAAATTTTGATTTTTTTATAAAATGCTAAGAAAAAGTCTTAAAATGTTTTAGAATGTATTTTTTTTTGGCTTGTTGCTAGAATTAAAATTAATTGAAATGAAACAAATGGTTTTAATTCGCTCTTTAAATTATTTGAGTAAAATGTTTATACAGCAAGACAATTTTTATTGAACGTTTATTAAGTTATATTTATAAAAGCTGATATGTTTGAATAAAAACATTTATTTCTTTAGCTTTTCATATGATGATATGTTACCAAAGGTCAATAATTTTTTAAAATTTTTTCTGCCTTTGACAACAATCGAAAGCACAAATCGAATTATTTTTCAGTTAAAACTTTCGATTTGAGACTTTAAGGAAATGTCAAATATATATGAAGTGGACACATAATTATGTTTACGGCCGCAGCTTTAAGGGCTTGTACACCGTGTATTCAGTTAAATATTAATGATGTTGTCAATTCTCTACCGGCTGCCCTCTCAAGCCGGCGCCCAGTCACGATTCTCGCTTGGCTTCCCTTTTATAATAGAGCTCTGCGCTGGCCTGATGTGCCTTGGCCTCTGATGCTTTAGCTGCCAAGCATGCAATATATTTGATGTACATATATATGCATGCGTGTCTCTCACTCTCCCTCTCGCTCACTCTGTGTGCGGGGGGAAGGGACGCAACCATCACTATCATAAACATTAACGGCTTTTACTTACCCGCTGCTCGTGGCTGGCAGTCACTTTTGCACTTGACACAAAAGCGAAATGTAGGCAAGCTGCTGAATTCTTTTATGAAGCATACTTTTGAGCGTGGCTGCTGTGATTTTTTACAAGACATGTGGAGCACGTCAGGCACGCAAAACTTTGACCTACAGCAGATCCGTTAACAGGGCCAAGCCGGCGTCGCGGCATGTGGCAGGGCTTATAATAAAAGGCGACAAAATGTTGGCGCTGTCTTCCCATATGTGTGTGTGTGTGCGTAAGTACTGTTGGCGCTTTTAAAGCGTTTATTTGTTATTTGAAAACTTGGTTGCAAGCACGCTGTCTTACCTATACTCTTCCATATATATATATATATATATATATATATATATATATATATATAAATAAATATATATATATATATATATATATGTGAATACGAACTACCACGGCAGGTAGCCCTTGGCACTTAACTGTTTACGCGACCACATAAAAGCGCATAGGCGCCGCGCCGTTTGCTTGCCAACTTTTAGTGCGGTTTCTTGACCGCACCCCTTTGCGGCCAGCGCTCACTCAGGGCGGGGCGGAGCGGGGCTCCACTTGCTGGGGACTTTAGGCATTCTGCATGCCCGGCACGTTTCGTTTCATTTAAAAGTTGGCTAGCATCGAGTAAAAATCAAATAAAATTAGCACAAGACGCGCATGTGTAAGCAGCGGAAAATTGTTTTCAATTTGCGCCAGGTATATGCCCATTCAAACATATGAGTGTGTGTGTGCGTATAAGAGGCACAAAACTGAACTGGCATATGCAATGGATGCTCAATCGAAACTATTTAAGTACATCGTAGGCAATACAAGTTTGTAGATGCTTCCGAGCATTTTAAGTGCGATTTACGCAAATCCCAAGCAAACGGAAAGCAGCTATACTCGAGAGCCCAAATGAAGGTTTTGTGTTACCCAAAACCGTTTTGTTTTGCATCCATTATGGGCAAAGATGGCAATACATACACAAGTGAGCTGTGCGGCTTAAGCCTTAAAGTTGACAACTTTCAATTGCAAATATTTGTTTTATAATTACTCATGAATTTCCCTAAAAACGCTTATCGAATTAAATCGGCTTATTTTACATATTTCATGCGCATATTTAAATGCTTTAATTTGCTTATGGGCTTTAAGCGGGCATTCCAACATACTTACACTTATGCCCACTCTCTCTTTCTATTTGTCTCTCTCTCTCTCTCTCTCACCCATATTGACATTCAATAAATACAAATTACACATTCATCACTGTCAGCTTCGTTGCATTTTGTGCTTTAATTTCAAGCTTTTGGCCTTGCTGCGGGTGCGGCTTTAATTTCGCAATGAACCAAATGTCAATCGACATCAAGTTCAATTAACATAATATATATAAGCCATATGCTTGAATTGGACAACATAAAGTATATTAAAATTATGTCATTTATATATATAAACATTTAAAAAAATCAGTTTGTTTTTTATTTATTATTTAGTGTTGCAAAAGTTCTTTGTATTTTTATATAAATTGAAATTAATATCAGTAAATTTATATATATTTTTAATTTAAGTATTTTTGGTTTTAATTGATATATATGAGTTTTAAATTTCTTTTTTTATTTGCACATTGCATTTGATATAATGATATGTAGCTGAATATGAATAAAAACATATGAACATGTTTTATATTTCATTGAATATGGAAAATGTGCATATGCTTATAGCAGACAGTAGGCACGACCCAGTCTTGCACAATATATATATTTGAGCAGATCGATAAGCAACATTACTGGCCTAGCCTTGTCTGTATGTCTATCAGCTGAGCTCTATCTATATATGAAGGCTTCAATTTACAGAACTATAAAGGCTTACAGCTAGCAGTTTGTAATGTATAGGTGGATCTATTCTATATATCGACTGCTATATATTTCTTTTATATTTTCGTAAAATCAATCAAAGCTGATTTAGGTATTATTCTTGTCATTTATGCCTTTGATTTAGTGTAATTTTATATTTTTAATTTCTTATTTAAAAGGAAATTCAAATGCTTCAATCAAAAACATATTTTACACACAAAAATTTTATATTTGCATCGAATATGTTAAATTCAAATTGACTTTGGTTTATTAGTTGTATATTAGAAATAGATAAGCATTTGAGTTTGTTAGTTTAAAGACTGAAGTATTCTGATCTAAATTAATTAAATACAAATTTCTAAGCTTTAAGCTAAACTCTTGTATTTTGCTAATATTTAAATGCACCTCAATTAACATAGTTACCATTGGTTGAATCCATCTAGAATATATTATTTTCGACCTTTTGCATATAAATTTTCAATTACTGTGATATTAAATCTGAGAGAGCTAAGCTGGTCAGCTACTTGAAATTAGTTTATTTCCTGTGTAAGATTCTCTAAATTGAATTTAATTGAATTAATTTATGCCTGTGCGCATAGTTAAAGTGGGGTATATTGCTTTTTGGAAACTCAAATTTTTCTTTGTGTTGCTGTGAAATCAGAGACTTTAAGCAAGGGTGGGGTATACAGATTTTATAGACATGACCTCCTCGTAACTATATCTCTAACAGCTATCAACCTCGACTTTTTTAGTCGTGAGCGAGTATTAAGCAGTCATACATAACCTAAGATTCGTAAATGTCAGTTTCGACTTGCGATTTCAGATCAACCAGAGAGAGTTTAATGCCTATTGCATTATGCAAATGTGTGTGGTGCAGTAAATGCATTGGCAAACCAAATGTGCTTAAGTCGAAATAATTTGGTAAGCCGCACCGCAAATACACAGCTGCCTTTGGCAAAATTTCTAATTTCAATTTGAGGCAAGCAATTAGGGCGCAGCTTTTGATGTGGCTTCTGGGCGGCTTTGAACTTGACGGCCATGACAGCATAAATAACTCAGTGACTGACAAATGGCAAATGTGTGTGCGCTGGCAAATCCTTAAAGAGCAAAATACAAATTTAGCTAAAGCCATTTTTATGGAAGATTTTGATTGCAGGCGAGACAAGAGCTAAGTTTTAATGGCTAATTTAGCGACAGTCGAAAGGGTTTCATTACTTGCCCCGAGACCGACATAATGGCAAAAGTGTGCAGCTGTATTACAAAGGCATTAAATGTGGAGCACCTGACATTGTCGGCGTGTGTGATGCCATTTAAAGCCATGGCGCTCATTGCGTTTATTGAAATGTTTTTTATGTTTTATTGAGTGCGTTGGGCCTGGCCGATGAGTTTTTAATTAACTTTTGGTGAAGCTGTTACCAGGCCTCTGCAGAGTAGAATCAGTTCGAAGCGGCGTATTAATTAGTTACGCATTTGAGAGGCGCTCAGCGTGTTTGTGTATGCGTATGGAAATTGCTTGTGCGCACCACATGGCGTATGATTAATGTGAGCATTTTGTACATTTTATTAAATAAATTGTAATTTATCATTGGGCAACGGCGAAGCGAACGCAAATCAAATAAATTACACAGCACTCGAGCAAAAACTTTGACCATTAAACGCTCTAAACAAACAAACGGAAAGCAATGACGATTTTAGCCCGCCCAACTACGTCCATCACCCATACGCGCCGTTGGCCGCAATGATTCGATTCAAGTGCGGTTGATTTTGTTTTTGTTTTTGTTTCTGTTTCGCTCTGTGGTGTTGCTGTTGTCGTTGGCATTTTTGTTTGTGTTCATTTGCGGGGCATTTTATTGCAATTGATTTTTGGTGCCGCCAGCTGCACAGCCGGACACACTGCCGGACAGCCGGGCAGTCGGGCAGCCCGGCACAGATACGGGCTCAGACTCGAGACAAGTGTTGCGGCTGCGGCTTAAGTTTGTCGACAAATTGAAAACTTTTTCGTTCGGCCAAGCAAAGGAAAATAAATGAAAACACCAAAGCCCCGGCCGCAAAACCTAAGTCTTTTGGCCGCTAGCAAACCCCAAAAACCAAAGCAGAAATAAAAAAAGTCAAAATCTAAAATAAGAAAACAATCAAAATAAGCGAGCAACAAATGCGACTCGGCTTTAATTTCACGCGTCTTGAGAGCAGCAGGCTACTTTTTGGTTCTTTTCTACCATAAATAAATAAACGCCTGCGAAGTAGTTGGCCAACTGCGCTGCCAACAAATTGGTAACGGCGGGCAGCAGCTGCTAAGGGCTGTCGGCTAGCCGGCTTAGCCAGCTATATAAAATATGCATGCAATGAATGTGTGTGTGTGGGTGTGTGTATAAGAGTTCATAGCTTTTTGAACCTAGGCACCACCCGCTGAGCTGTAGCACACGCTGTAGATGGATCGCGGTCGATGGGACACATGCACCAGCACGTGATGCTGCACCTCGTCCACCTGCACATCGGTGCTGGAGAAGGGCGAAGCGCCGGTGATCTGGCTGAAGCGGGACTGATAGCTGCGTATGGCCGAGACTCGCTCGCGCCAGGTGTGCCAGAAGTACTGCTTGTGTATGTGGCCGCCAAACTCAAAGATCATGGGACGCTCAGCTTTAAGTTGTGGCTCAATCGGCTGCACGCTGAGCATCATGAGGCAGCGCTCACGCTTGCGATAGAAATTGAAGCGAATGTACTCGAGCGGCACCATGCTGATCAGATCGAAGCACTCGATCTCCGGATCCTGGCCCAGAAGGCAATAGCAATTGGGCTCGCCGAAGTGATCGTCGTCTCGGTCGAAGTTGTCGCTGCCGAAGAGCAGCTTGGTGCCAGTTAGAGCGATTTGGTATTGGCGCAGACCCACTCCGTGTGCATCGACCAGCGTGAAGGGGCTTTCCACCATCACCGACTCATAGATCTCTTGGTATTCGGTGAGTAAAACTTTTTGCACTCGAAACATCTTGTCAGCAGCAATTGCAATGACTTTGCCGACGACTTTGGCTATAATTTAATTGAAATGTCAATCAAAGTTTCGCAGCGCGCACGTCTTGTCTGTCCTCGGTCTGTCGATTTGTTTGTTTTGAGTCGAGTTTTTGGTTTTTGGGCTTCGGCTTTTGGCCTGGGTGTGTCCCAGTCACTGGCACTGGCACTGTCACAGTAACAGCGCCTGCTGTGTGCTATCAGAAACTGTGCTGCAAAGTCGATTAGGCGAATGCAAATCAATTCAGCCCAATTCCACATTGTGGACCCAAAACCCATTTGCATCTGAATTTAAATTGGTATTTGTCCAGTCTCTAGTCTCCCATCTAATGTCCATAGTTCACCAAATGCCTGCATTACATGCACTCTGTTGACCTCCAAGCGGTAGCTGACTTCATGATGCCCACTCAGAGTCAATGTCGACGTCGGCGTCGTTTATAAGCCCTAAAATGCTGCTTGGCTTTTGTGCTTCTGCAAATACTCTACATTTACTGAAGGCTTTAGAAATGTGAAGTTTATTTGGAAAAAAAATATTTTTATTGAGGGCCTCAAATGTGAATTTTAGATGTTTACAGAACGCTTAAGCAAACATAGAGGCCTTAAGGGAGTCTATCTCTCTCACTCTTTATTTAGTTAATTTTAAACTACTTTGTGTGCTCCGAGCTTATTTAAATAAATGCTTTAAATATAGTAGAAATGTCTTTGCTTTTCACAAATTTGACTATTTAACATAACAGCAGAGCCATACCATGCGAGCTTTAAAAGTGAGAATCCAACTCAATATGGATGAGAGCCTTAAAAGTGAGAAGCCAACCCAATATGGCTTCTCACTTTTAAGGCTCTCATCTTGAATTTCGATGCATCGCTTCGTTTTTGTGTTGCTAAGAGTTCGTACATATGCCAAAGTTCGTGCCTTCGTCTTTTTATTATGATCGCTGTTCGGCTCAGCATTGAGCGACACGATTGGCCAGCTTAAGAGCGCCACGCTCCTCTCTCTCTCTCTATCTTATGCACGCTCTCAGCGCATCACTTAGCTTAGCTGGCGCTCGTAGTTCGATCAGTTAGTCTTTGAATATCATTGAGTGCAGCTGCTTCTACATCGACAGCCCTTCGAGTTGCTTATTCCTAACAATCATTTAATATTATACACCTAGCTGACGACCGGCAATACAAACTTTGTAAGACTAAATAGACAAAAAAAGAAGGAAAATACAGTGTCATAAACCTGTTAGAGCTTAAAGTAAAACTAGAGGAAAATCAAAATTAAATTACTACTCAGATGGTTAAGACTTAAGGGGAAGATTTACTAAACTTAAAGTTATAAAACTTCTAGGTGCTTATATATACATATATATATATATATGTGCACAATAAGAAATAATTAAATGTGCTTAGGTGGTCTATTTTCTACAGCGATTTATAATGTATTTTCTATTATTAAATTCTATTTAGCATTAAATTCTATTTAAATTCTTAGTTAGCAACTTATGACTATTGCAACTATTGAGCATATGGCACAAGTGACATTGGAATTGGTTGAATATTTTTCCAAGAAGCAAAAATGAATCTCCCTTTATAGAAAACAATCCCTTCGTGAATATTAGTTTTCATTGTTTTATATAAACAAAATTGGGAAATATTTTCAATTTGTCTTCAAAAGCTAAATGAAAATCTGAGCAAATAGAAAAGAACATTTCATATGGGAATTGGCAAAGACATTTAAGTCAAATATAAGCAAAAACTTTTCTCTTGTCTCAATAGAGTCATCAATTTAACTGGTCATCCATCACACCTGGTCCATACATCAAATACAAACTAGTTTTGCCATAAAAAAATATATTTTAGCTTGAACTGAGTTAACTTATAATGAAGTAAAATAGATTATCATTAAAGGCAATTATTCCAACTTCATGTAAAGACAATATATAATTATAATTAAAAATATAATTTGCACTTTAAAATACAATTAAGTAAAATAAATTGAATTCATTCAATGCGTCGCTTTAGGGCATCAGAATTGAACAGTGTTTTGACCTTGCAATTGCATTCGCTTTTTGCTTAAGCTGACAATGTCAGTTTTATCTTTTGGTTTAATTTTCTGATTTATGGCAAATAGTTCGCTGTTCATACAGCTGCTAGGTCTCTGCTTCACACTCAATTGGAATTGCTGACAAATTTTATTCTCGAATCCTTTGGAGCATTGAACAGCTGCCGCTGTTCACTCGATGAGATAAGCATATTTCAACAAGATTGACTCTAACAGGGTGAGAAAATGTCCTCGAGCTGTCATGTCCGAAATAATGTGCGTATTTGAGTTGAGCTCAGTTCAAGTTCAGCTTTGCCAAAGACCAAAATCGTCGATCAATTAAGTCTGCTGGCAAAGCTGTCACAATTGCCACACATACGAATGGACAAGAAATTCAGGATTTAATTAAAACCATTTTCTAGGCAAAATTTATGCTCGCCCCAGAGCAGTTAACGTTACGTTGCGTTACGTTGCGATACGATACGATACGATAAATAAGCATTCGAAATGTTGCTAGCCCATTAATTTGCGGCAAATTGTGCAGATTGCCGCAAATTGCGATGCGGTAATTAATGCAACAAATGTGTTTCACTTCTAAGACGCTTCTAATTTGCAACACTTGATTTCGAGTGGACCATTGAAACTGTTTGCACATCCAATTCGAGTGGCGAATGGCCTTCAGGCAGCTCATTGGCTTTGGCTTTTAAATGGCCGCAAAATGCATTTCCTGCCCAGACCTCGGAACAGAGATTCGAGATGCCCTCTGCCAGGCGTCCCATTGCTGCTCCTCTAGCCACTAGATGCGTCTACTTGCCCACTCGACTGGCTGGCTGTACACGTCAATTGTGCTTAAACTGAGTGCAGCAATTAGGTAAAAGTGGCTCTAACAACAATACACACAAAGCACATTTACACGGACACACACATGCACACGCACACGCACACGCACACATAGATATACATGTGTGTGTGTGTGGTTTATAGCCGCTTTGAGCATTTCATTACTAACATTTCAGGTTTTTATTGTTAAATGCGACGCAACATCAAATGGAGAATCAACCATTGCTCATATACACAGCCACAACTACAGATAAACTTACAGATACTTTATAGTTACACTCACAGTAACAGTTACAGCTACCATTACAGTTGTGCTAGTCATATATACATTGCTGTGTTCACTATTGTTCACATATTCACCTGCACCTAATAGTGTTTACCTCTGCTACATATAAACTTTCATCTCTCTCTCATATATATATATATATATATATATATATATATATCTTTCTAGCTGCCTCCACTCTGTGTAATGTGTACTTTGTGGCTCACTTTGATGCACATTTCTGGCAGTGGTTTTTTCCTTTTTGGGCGTAATGTAGAGTGCATAAAAGCTCTATTAGCATTAAAGTGCCGCATAATGTTAAGAGTCCGCACTTGAAATGGGCTCGAGGCTTTATTGTTAAATATGACTAGCGGGCATTGTAAGTGGGCCACGTCGTTTTTCTTTCCTCCTTCCAGTTTTAGACATAAATTGTTACTTCCAGTTCAGGTACTTCAAATTTTAATTATATTTCTTACACGTATTTTTAATTAATTTTAGAGTAGCCAGCACGAGACACTCAATCTTATGATTATATAATATAATACATAACACAGAAATATGGAAGTAAACTATAAATTTTATAAATATATTTTAATATTAAATACATTTTTTAATGCAATCAAAAATCTGTTAATCAATGTGAAATGCTATAAACATATTTAAATTGATAAGCTCATATTTGTAATAAAAAATATAATAAGTAAATAAAAAATTAAATGTAATTGCATTAGTGACATTAACTCACACTGGTCAACATGTTTCAGTAACCAAGAAATATTGTCGCCTGCAATGTTTGTAGTTAAACATACAATATCATGCTCTGAATTCCCTTTTCAGTGGGTCCAGGGTACATTGTCTTCATTGTCTTATTCTATATGGCCTTCAGAAGCTATACTATATATATATTTTTTTTTACAGTACGCTTTGGCTTTAGCCTGAAAACAGCCTCCGTTTCGGCGACTTCTCTGGAGGTTAGAGAACAGAAAATACTCACTGTGAATCATAAAACATATGGATTCAGTACTATTAACGCTAACTGGATAATTGCTTATAAATTTTCAGGCAGGCTTTCAGATAATTCAGTGAACTACTCAGCCTCCCCATTGCTTCACATTTTGTTAGCCAGTGTAATTAAACGCCCATTTGATTTGCCTTCATTCTAGCTGCAATCTGTTTATGCATGTTTAATCCAATTATATTAATATTTTGCACTTCATTTAATATAAATAAAAAATAATTTGTTTGAATTGAATTAAATAACTTTAATTAATTTCCATGACCATGTGAATCTATTAGCTGCTTACTATATACCGTATACCCTATAAAATGAACTGAATATGACATGAGATACGTTTCTTATAAAGACTTAAACTCTTCTTAGAACTAAGAACCAGTTGTTACGCCTACTTAAAATCCATTTGTCTAAAGTTACCTTCCAGCTGCCTGCAGGGTATCTGCATAGTGCGCCTCGCTCTCATCTCAATAATTTCGATTTGACATTTGTGCCACTCGCGCTTTTGATGTAATTAATCCGTTTTTATTAATTGGAAACGCCGTTGCCGTGGGCGTTCACGTTGCGGTGGCCACGCACAATGGGCTGACAGGTAGCAGGAAAAGCGCTTCCATGGAATAAGCTGCGATATTTTCTACACACGAGCTTAAGCTTAAATGGGTTTAGTTCGAGGCATAATATGCATTTCAGACTTAAAAGCTAGAGCTTTACATTTTTTAGTTTCTCTTTAGCATTTTCTCCTTTAAGCCATGAAAGGAAAATCGCATTCAGTTACTTTTGTACGCCCAATTGAAGCAGCCATCAAAATGCGAACTGCGAAGTGCTGGATAAAAGTCGAGGCAGTGTTCAGCATGCAGATGTTCTATTAAGTGGGAATTACCAAAAAGAGGAGATGCCAAAGACATGGCACTGCCATATGCTTCGCACTAAAGCACAGTTGGCAGCTGGCACCTTGAATACCCTATAAATATACAAGTAGAATGGGTTGATCAGAGCATTAGGCTGTAGAGAAATACATA